TTAGGTCAGGACTCAGAAACAGAAGCAAGGGAGGTAAGGGGGGGGGGCGGGAGAAAGGACAGGAGTTGCCGGGCAGGCCTGGAAGGGAAGTGGTGCTCTTCTAGATTCTAGAAAGAAAAGGGAAATCTTCTTGTGATGGGCATCCTTTTGGGGAGGAGACTCTTTGCACAGGATCTTTCCAAGACCTGGGAGTAGCAACTGTAGCTCAGGTGAGGAGCAACACGTGGCTGTGGCTGGGGCTTGGGAGAAAGGAGACGTCTCAGAGGCAGGCCTGGGCCAGTAAAGGAAACGGCAGCCCTTAAAGATAGACTGTGAAGTCTCTGGAAGGCTTTCATCAGGAAAGCCTGCCAGGTGGTTGGTATTTTTCAAAGCTTAGGCTGTGGGAGAGAACAGAGAGAGACCAGCAGTGGGAGCTGGGAGAGCAGTGAGGAACTGGAGCCCACAGTCCTTGGAGATGTGAACGCTGCTTGGCATTAGCACCTGGCAAGAGTGGTGTAAACAAGGAAATCATGAAATTTCCAGGCAAATGGATGGAACTCGAAAAGAACACCCTGAGTGAGGTAACCCAGAAGCAGAAACACACACATGGTATATGCTTACTTGTAAGTGGATATTAGCCATTTAATATAGGATAAACCTACTAAAATCTGTAGTCCTAAAGAAGCTAAACAAAAGGAGGACCCTATGGAGGATGCTTAAATCTCATTCAGAATGGCAAACAGGATAGACACCAGAAGCAGTAGAAGAGAGGGAACAGGACAGGAGCCTACCACAGATGTCCTCAGAAAGACTCCACCCAGCAGGGGATTGAAGCAGATGCTGAGACTCACAGCCAAACTTTGGGCAGATTGTAGGGAGTCTTATAGAAGAAGCGGGGGATAGAAGGACATGGAGGGAACAGGAGTTCCACAAGGAGACCAACAGAGCCCAGAAGGTCCTGCAGAGACTGAAGCACCAACCAAGGACCATGCATGGGGAGGTCCTAGACTCTCTGCTCAGATGTAGCCAATAGGCTGCTCAATCTCCACGTGGGTTTTCCGAGTAAGGGGAGCAGGGGGCTGCCTCTGTCATGAACTGTCTTTTTGATCACTGCCCCCTGGCGGCGGGGGTAGGGAACAGCCTTGCCAGGCCACAGAGGAAAAGGATCCAAGCAGTCCTGATGAGACCTGATAAGCTATGGGCAGATGACAGAGGTGGAGAACTCAGTGGACTAGGGGAAGGAGATTGGGGGAAAGAGGGAGGGAGGGTGGGACTGGGAGGAGTTGAGGGGAGGGGTCTTCAATCAGGATATATAATGAATAAATTGTAAAAAATAAAATAAAATAAAAAAGTGGTGTTAGGACAGAGTGGACCAGTTCAGGGCCCATTGTTGAAGCTCAACCTGCCACAGTGATGGACGGCGGGATGAAGGAAGTGAAGGAAGAGGAATTCAGAATGAGCTCCTGGAGAAGAACGTGTTTACATGTGCCATTTGCTGAGATTGGGGAACAGCAGGGCTGAGTGCCCTGTTTGAACATATTAAGGGTGAGGTGATGGGAAACTTAAGTGGAGGTTGCAGCAGGCTGCTGGGCTTGGGATGTGGATCCGACGGGGAGGTCTGGGCTAGAAAGGGAGAATCTGAAAAATCACCAGCATGTTGGTGTCATATGTCACGCAGCAGTCATATAGAACAGCGCCATGGGCCTGGCTCTGTGGCTTGGCGGGTTCTAGGAGAAGCTGGTGAAGATAGTTGAAGCAGCATCAAATACGTACAAAATGTAAAGTTCAGAAACCAAGACAAGAAAGTGCTCCAAAAAGTGAGGGACAGTGAGGAGGGGTGAATATTAGGATGTTCAGTAAGTAGGAAGACATTCGATTGTGCTATATAGCGGGAGCTTCGTGCTCCTCTTTTTAACGGTCCTTCTTCTTTTGTGTGCATGAGTACCTTGCGTGCTTGTACATATGCGCACCACATGTGTGCAGGGCCATGGAGGCCAGAAGAAGGCGTCATCCCCTGGAACCAGGGCCGTCATGTGGCTGCTGGGGATTGAACCCAGGATGTCTGAAAGAGCAGCCAGTGCTGTTAACCGCTGAGCCATCCTCTCCAGCCCCCTACGATTATTCTTCACAGAAGTTTGTGTTGTTAGTCCAGCGGACTGACCCTCGAGGCAAGGGGGAGTTGTGAGGGGATGTGCATGGAACTCTTTCTGGCAAGTTTTGCCCAAGGGGCAAGAAGAAGGATCTGTTTTGTTTCTTACAGATGAGATGCAGTGAGCTTTGGGAGAGTGATGGCACACTGTGCCTTTTCTGAAAGAGGTCACTTTTCTGTTGCTTTGTAAGAAATT